CAACTGCAACATTAAAGTGATGAAAACAACAATTATAATCCAGTAACGCAATATTATACTAGAATAGGCTCTTCTGCATAATGGGTCTTAATTTCCCTTTAGAGCAATACAAGGTAACATTGTGTCATCTGGGTGCAATCGATGAGTCCTCCCGAAATTCATAAACACTTAAGAACAAAATAAAAAAACACAAGTATAAATCTTTCCTAATATTTAGGTCCCTGAATACACGTTAAGTTTCTTTTGAAAGGGCTTATCAGAAATGTTTGCCTGTGTGTTGCCAGCTTTGTGTGGTTTAAAAAGGCTTTTGTAAATAACTGAACCTGGAGCTACAACTTAAAGCACACCGTTGTGCATCAAGACCTCAGGTTTTGGGGATTAAAACTCACCTTTAAAATGTTGCCATCTAAATGAAAAGTCACATTTTAAAGCCAAGTGTAGATTTTGATCTAAATATCATAAATGTTTGAGGCTCCTTAAACCACAAATCAAATGAATCTTTCTCAACGGATGTTAAAGGGATTGGGAACATGACGCTCATACCAATGGTGTCCGTTCAATAGCAATTCAATATTAATGTATGTCTATAAAACTCTTGAGGTTACCCTCTAAAAGGAAGATGTCAAGTACTCTGCTTTTACACTGAGGAAGTTTTGTCTGTCTTAGTTTGACAGGGGTTGAGATTGTACAGTCCATATAGCTTGTTAAGTGCTTTATATACAAATGAATAAAGCAAAAGTGACTTATTGTTTTTATAATTAGTAAGTCATTTGTTGGATTAATTAATTCAATCAGTTCCACAACCGATGGATATGCAAATGTCATTATACTTTGTTCAACTTATATGTGTATGCCAGATAGCAATGGCTCATAATGATCAGCAGTATATACGTTTGGTCTTCAAAAGGTGATGGGGGGTGACTTGATAGGGTGATGCTGCAGGGCCGAAGAAAAAACTGATATCTGAAGAGTGCACACTGTTGTTTGAAGTGAGTCCCTCGGCAGCTCAGTCGGGTCCTCTCCATGCCGCGGATAAAATAAACTTTAATGTGCTTCTGCTCAGAGGAACCACATCATTTGATAGAAGCCCACACAGGGGTTTTACACTAATTACATGAAGACGGATGAGATCGACTGCATCTCATGAGTAAAGTAGCATTTATGCAAAAATTCCAGATACTAAAGTTTGGTTTTTGGGTTCTGGAGTGAAATATGCTGCAGCTAGTTCTTTATGCATTCACATCACATATCAAGAGCACAGAAGATTAGGCAATTTAGACCAATAAAACATGTAACAGTGACAGATTCACAGTTTATTTACTCTCAGTTGACATGGGAAATTAAACCGCAAAGTGAAAACCTATTGGCTGTTCTTCTTGGTTAATTTATATTGCACTACATGAGCAGATGAAGTTTAAGCTAATTTAATCAATATATTGATATTAACAATGGATCAAATGACAATGTATGGTTTGAAATGGATGGCTTGCAGTAAGAAAGACGAAGAAAATGATCTGCAAATTATTTGCAGAGCTCTGCATCGTCTTAAAAGAGAGTGAATGATGCACTTACATTTGTCAGGTTGTAACCCAGAAATTATCTAGACATTATCCGGAGGAGCTGTATGTAAAAATACAAATGTTCGAATCAGTCTCTTAACGGACAATAAATGGATCCCTCAATTTTTGCTCCTGAGAAATATCTGATTGGTCCATGTGTGAATAGATCTGCTCCTTCTCTGGAGTTTTTACAGTGAGTCACTGTGCATGTGTATATTGTTTCTAGGTGTTGGTGCAAAACCTTGAGAAAATAAACATCTGTTGGTGAAGGAGTTATTCTAATGAAAACACCAAGAAAAATGTTTTACTGGTGGACAACCGGATTTATGAATTCATGCCAGAAAGGGCCCATGCTGAAATCGGCAGACAACTTCGACGCACAGCAAAATTCAGTGTTAGGACCAAATTACATGCCAACTCTGTGATGGCTGGAAGAATCTGGGTAATATCGTCCCTCCTGAATGAGCTATCCATGAACACAGGATTTCCAGTCACTGAAGATGCTTGTGCCTCATACAATATCCTACTGGTACTACATGTGAAAAGGAAACGTTGTATGATGTGCTGACTTGAAACTCTGGGCTTCCTATGATGAAAAGGCATAAAGTCTTAGGGTGTCAGCAACATGATGTAAATTAAACATCAATGACATTAAAGGATATACCCAGCCTTACCCTAACATTGACGTGTAGATCAACGCTCTGAAAGTTGTTGCAACTGTCAAGCAAACTTTAGCACAGGAACTTAAATACTATATTCTTTTACCGGAGTTGCAAGAAAGGATCCTTTCCTTATGTGGTCGAAAAAAGGTTTTTAGTCGTGAGGAATTCAGCCTTCCCTCAAGGTGGTTCCAAATCATTCAGTGTATTCTGAATCAATAGCTCTCTGTTATCAATATGTTAGTATTCCTACAGCAGCGGTTAACTGGATTAAAATTGGATGCAGCAGACTATCGACTCCTGAGCTCTCGAGTGGATGCCTTTTGTCAAAGTAGTTTGTTGCTTAGGAACGGAGGATATGATGGAGATAAGACTACAATGCTACTTATCTCTTGCTACTGCTATACATGTTTGTGAGGTTTGAACATAAATATCAGAAAAGCAGCTTTATTAGGGTTTTTTGATTAGGGTTTTTTATCATTGATGTCTTTCATGTTTTATATTTATAATGTGTTGTGCATATGAATTACTGCTCTAGAGTGGAAAGCTACATTATCTGCGTAACAAGCTGCCAACAGAGACACTCCAACTCAATTAATAGCTAATCAATCCACTCAGCTGTTTGATGCAGTCGGCTCTCTGCTCCGTCATTTAGTGACAGATCTCCTACCAGAGCGGGAACATACAAGTGCCTTTTTACGTCAAGTGGGCTGAGGGTGTTTAAGTAGCTGAGCAGCAGGGAGGTTCCTCCACTTCAAGCAAGAATAGCATTATAATGATGATACAATATTGGTTTGGGAAAAGTGAAATGGGAATAAGGATCACATCGTTCTCTTACTGTATGGAGATCATGTCAATGCACCACAATGACCAATGATGATATTTTAATGTCAACTGTTGCCCATATGTAGTTGTTTGCCTGAGTCTAGATGATAATCATACAGAGAAGAAAACTACTGCTAATTCTTTTTGCAAATCTTTGCTTTTCATTTGACCCTTTTAAGAACTGTTTTCAGAGACGAATCGGAAGACATCAGCATTACAAATAAAGCAAAAGTGAAGTAAGACAAATATTTGGTATGTGCTCCCAGTGGTGTATGCATTCACTTTGGGGTTGCCATTTTATGCAGATAACTGTATTTGCCTAACTTCGTATTCATATTATAAGAAGAGACGTTTCGTTTTAAGCTACAGGGCGAAACTTTTGTCTCCCTCCTGTGAGAGTAATTACCCTACAGCAGTGGTTCCCAAACGGTGTGCCGTGAGGCAAGTCCGGGTGTGACGTGGGATTTTGTGACAAGCCTGACAACCATACGTTATTATTGCAATATACAAGTACACACAAATAATTATTTTTTAATTTACTATATCAGTACTTTGTAGGTTTATATGTACGTAATCTGCGCGACTTGCGCGTCCACATCTCCACGTGCAGTGCTGCATAAACATGGCTGAGTCAGCGATAACTTTCGAGGGGTGGAGGTATGCCCATTATTTTGAGTTCGTCCAAAGAATAGACAGGAATGTGACGGTGAGGTGCAAACTGTGTCCAGGCCAGAAGCTGTTATCCACTGCTGTAAACACCACGTCAAACCTCAACAAGCACCTGCAAAGAACACATGCTAAGGTGAAGCTACTGCACAGCTATTTGTTATTTGTTTATATCACGTAGTCTGTTCTTCTTCTCTGTCTTCCGGTTGTTGCCTGTTTTGAATGACAAATACACACTACCGCCGCCTGCTGGTAAGGAAAGTTATTGCCACTCACGCATGCGCAGTTCGTACGTGCTCGACGAGTAAGGTAACGAGTAAAGTAACGCGTTACTTTATGTAGATAGTAACGAAGTAGTGTAATATATTACTTTTTAAAAAAAAAGTAATATGTAATATATTACATTTTTTTAGTAAAAAAAACCCATCTCTGGAGTTGGCGTTCTCTACTCTGGTTTACATGAAGAACAACAGGAGGCCACGGCTCTCTGTTGAACAGGACCTACGAGTGGCCCTCTCCTCAGTGCCACCAAGGATTAAAAAATTCTGCTCGCCCCGACAGGCACATGTATCTCACTAATTTGTAAGTCGGCAAAAATATTTACAATAGCACATGTTTCAATGCTGATTGCTGAAATGTTACATTTATAATTTGTAGTTCAGGACCATGGACAATGCAGCTTCCTTGCATTGACAGTTCTCTGTGCTGAATTTCTGCTGAGTTTCCTTTGCCTCATTTTTTATTTTGTGACCTGTCTGGTTTAAATGAGTGTGGTGCTGCTTTGATGAAGCCTAATTTGACAAAGTTTCAAAATAATTTCTAAAATATTTAGTTAATAAATATTTCATGATTAATATAGTTGTCTTTGTCACATTTTATTTGGCATTAGTAAATAATTATGCACATTTACAGATATTTTACATGATATGAGTGATAACACAGTGTTATAAGGGCTATTTTGCACAATAGGTGTGCCTTGATATTTTTACTTGTCCTTTGGTGTGCCTTGGGCACAAAAAGTTTGGGAACCACTGCCCTACAGTATGTACATATAATGGCAAACCATGTTAATATCAAACCTTTGAAAATGTAGGTATTTAAATAGTAAAAGAAGAAACAACAGAAGTTCAAATAGCACAAAAATTAGATAGGATTTATTCGCAGATAAAAGTTAAAGACTATTACCCCTGAAACCAAACATCATACACTTGTGTTATTTCTTTTTCATTCAAAGAGCAGTCTGATGCCCAGTTTCAGACAGGTTCAGTTGATTTAAAATGGGAATACTCACCGAGATGATGGCTGCTAAAGTCTCTATGGCCCCGGTGGTCAGGGTGATGTAGGGGATAATGTTGTCGGCAAAGCCTGCGTCCCGAAGGATCCCATTGGTGTAGTACCAGATCTATGAACATTTATATATAGTTAAATATATATACAAATCTATTTGTTTTAAAGATTTTTAATAAGCTGAAGAACTGATCCTGTGACGATGCTTTCATTGCAAAATGTCTCAGCTGTCACCTTCAGAATCAGTTTCATTGCTACACAATAAGCTTCTGCAACAGCACCGAGTCTCTCTCTGACTATAGTATTTACTGGAGTCATTTGACAGGTCTGATGATCAAAATAAAGACCTCCAAAGTGATATAAATTAAATGCCTGGCTTCATGGAAGGAAAGTGTATGCAAATGAAGTCTTGCCCATATCTATGATAATAGAGAAGGAGCTTTGGGATATCTAGCTTTTCGCATTACAGTATTACCAAGAGGACCGTCAACCTATCATATTGGAATATTTGATAATGAAAAAATGGAGCTGATATTTATTCTGAACATGGTTTTGGAGCAAGCTTACGTATACCATTTGCATGAATTTTAAATATGTCAGTCAAGGATCAAGAGTCTTATTTTAAAAATGTAAGTGTCAAAAAGACCGGCTTTGGTTGCATCCTTCCTGCTCGTCGATCCTTATTTAATTATTGATAATTTCATAGGAACAGATAACATAAACATAGACAGACTGCAAACAGAAGTTTCATTTCAGCATCGGTATGTTTGGCAGATGTTTGCAACAGTCCCTAGAAGGGCTTTAAGGAAAGTAGGGGATAAGAAAAGTTAGATGAAAAAACTTTGAGAAGACAATACATAAACACCTCAGGCGAAGGATGGCTCCACATCTCTTCCCTCAACAACGTGCATGACTGAGTGACCTAAAGTGACCTGCATGCCCACAGGTACTTAAAGTTTAAACAGAGGCGTGCTGGGCACATTTGGAAAGATACAATCTATCTTAGAAAATAACGACTTAAATTATTTTACCGCATAGCCTTATTGAATAAAAAAAAAAACGAAATAACCCTATTTCTTTTTTTTTTCTTTTTAAAGAGTCAACAATTACTGGGTCACACCTGTGCACTGCAATTTGCTGCTACACCTGATCCACTGACAAGCGGTCATTTTGTCACTAAAAGGACTCTGATAGGACAGAACAGAAATCAGTTCTTCATGCCCAAACAGATTTAAAATGTTTGCTTGGAGGTGTGACAGAGCATCTTTAAGAAAGTCGAATTGCAGCATGCTTGTCACGTAAATGTTTTAAAAGAAGGTTGTCTATTTTCTTAACTGAATTTTGCAATATTGATTCTTATATAATGCTTACAACATTTTTAAATGATCAAAAATAAATAGCAAAGACATTTCTGATTTTCAAAAATACAATAAAGTATTAATGCATTCTAAAGAACAGGATTTCATTGACTCCCTGAGTAAAGTGAGATAATAACAGGGTCTCACAGCGTTCAGGCCGCAAAGCTGATAGCAGGCCATGCTGACGATGATGGTGATGAGCTGCCAGCGAACAGCCTGGCTCCGCAGCAGCTGCAGCACAGAGGCGGTGTGCATGTTGTCCTGCGCACGAGACTCCGCATGGACCTCCTCCAGCTCCTGAGACACGTCTTTCTTCCCCAACAACCTCTGGAAAGCTGGCACAGAAACACACACAGTGTTAAAATTATCCAAAGATAAAAGCAAACATCATGCTGAGATCAAAGAGGATGAGTATTTATCCAAAGGAGATTAAGATTTATCCTTGTAAATGGATCAATTAGTTAAAAACTGAACGCTAAATAAGACTAACTTCAAATCAGATTTTCTGTATTACACTTGTTTTATTGAGTAATGTGTATTCTAACTGTGACTGGTGTTCCTTAATCTGGCCTCCATAAAGTGGGTAATTTGGGTAATGCAGGCCCTCGGTTCCCAGGTGACAGGCTGCGTGATCGGTGCGGATATTTACATTTCCCAGTTGAATCGTTACTGGAGGGGGAGAATTTCTGCGCAAAACAGAATCAGCCAACTTAGTTATTGTAATGCATGGCTTTGTTTATGCTTTCAAAGTGTAGTCCTGTGACAATGCTAATTACTATGTGTGGTTTCAATATTTTCAGTTTTTAATCTCACCTTTTAATGTTTTCACAGTAAAAAAAAATGGAAATATGTCAATTAGCTACTTTTTACTCAAGGTTGTAAGTGGAGTTACTGACCTGGGGTGGCACTAAGAAAATACATAATGAGTGGATCCAAGCAGTGTTTTTTTTTTTGAAATGAGGGATTGCCTTTCCAATTGGGATTGCATTCAACACATAAATTAGGCCTCAGGAATACATATAATACATGTTGATGAGAACAATTAAAATAAACACAACTCATTGCTAGTTAGGAAACTTCACAGGAGTCCTCCAATTGTAGTCAGAGGGATTTGTGACAAACCCTGAGGCTGCATTGTGGTCCCGACATGTCGTCAATTTAAATGCTTCCTCTCAGATACATAATTCATCAACACTATATTACATTTTATTGCAGCCCTGTCTCCATCTGCTAGCCACAGTAATTGAAGGAAGTGAATGTTCAAATATACTCTATTGTTCCATCTATAATTCAAAGCCATTTCTATGATGAAACAACTTATTTTATTAAACGCTCTGCTAATGTTGATCAAAAATTCAAGCGTGCACTTTACTCTGCATCGACCAATCAGCTTGCAGCCCCCTCACTATGAGTGGGACCCTTTACAAAAAAGGCTGTTTGTTTTCCTGGTTCGTTAATGGTGGAACGATTGATACCGGGACAGCAGAAAGCCTAAACATCTTCCGTCGCAGTCTGAAACCCACCTGTTTTGACTGCATCTTTGCCAATAAAAGAAAAAGAAAAAAACATACTCTTTTATGTACGTAGCACTTTAAAGGTTTGGCTTTAATTGCAATAGCACTTAAACTGGTTTGGACTATAGATCGCTAAATGTACCGGCAGGATTCTTGCTTTTGAGTTTTTTTTTCTTGGTTGAATGCACTGATTGTAAGTCGCTTTGGATAAAAGCGTCAGTTGAATTAAATGTAATGTTATGTAATGAAAATTATAAACGTTACAAAATTGTCATTAATTATGTTTTTCTATCAGTCAAAAGGCGGACAAAAAACAGAAATACATCAATATTCAATATTTGTATGTGTATAGCTGAACGGGTTTCTAGCAATCATTTTCAACTTCACCAGTTGAAGGTTGTTTGAACTTGAAGGTGATGGACTGGAGGCAAATACAGCTGCTCGTGGTGCAGGAATTCGATATTGTATGTCTTGGAGAAAAAGCGTCAAGCCAAAAGGTTTGCTTCACCATAATGTACCTATAATTGATATTCAACAGATGTTATGTACAATCTGCACCATGGGGAAGGACTGAAACAATACTAAAGAGTTGCATGTGTCACATACTGTAACATATAAGTCCTCAAAAGTGTTGAGTTCAGAGAAAGCAGGACTCATCTTTGTAACCATGTTTTACTGTGTTACAAATATTTAGAGTTAATTTCTGTAAAAGGGCAGCATCCATAAAAACAACTGTCTTACCATTTTTCAGTTGTGAAAATGGTAAATATCTAAAAAACCCTATTTTAAAAAACAACTACAGTGATGTAAAAAGGTACATCTTCATTTTAAGTAAAGACAATGTATTTTATCTCATGTAAAAAACACAAGGCAACGAGAAAAGTGTATTCAGTTGAGTGCAGATCCCACCATGCTGAAAATAACCTGTCTCCGAAATACGTTTCCCACCATGACATCTTATCTCAATGTAATTATCGCCGGGATGAGTATATGGAAATTAGTGTTCAATTGCTTCTCCCTGCTGATAGAAACTATGGCAACCTGCTCCAATCCAGGATCAGACTGTGCTGTCAGCTGCTTGACATGATATTGTGTCAATGGTGTGTTTGTAGAGACATGTTTTGTTGGCAATTATTGTACATTGGGTTTTGCGCACCATGAGCGGGACAAATAAAAATGAAATTAAATATTGATGTTTGGAGATGGGACGTGTGACAGTGCCTTTGTCCCCACGGATGGAAGTCTCTTTCATTTTCCCTGCAGGAGGAGAGTTGGGCTCCACTCCCTATCAATCAGCGACGTGCAGTCAGGGGAGGGAGGGGAGGCAGAGCCTCACCTGTCATACTCCAATGTAACGGAAAAACAACTAAAGAAAAACGAAATAGTAATAATAATAATAACATGTCTCCACTGATCTGTGTTGTAAGTGTGATTTCTGTATGATTCCAATCGCTTCTTATAGTCAAAATCAGCAAATTGGCCGAGCTCCGCTACAACTCCTACATGGGAGCGATGAGGAGTGAGGCAGGGACGAGCTCTGCCTCACGTAAGCCCACAGTAACTGGCTGGAGCGCGCGCACTAATGTAGCACGGGCACTTATTTTGTGAGCGCGCTCAAGCCAGTTACTTGTGTGGTGAGGTGAGGCACAGATGAGCTCTGCCTCACCTCAGAATGCGTCACCCCACAGAAACTGGCTGGAAAGCGGGCCCTAAGCGCATGCCTGCACCATCTCACTGTATGTCACCAATGTAATGTTTGTAGATCCCTTTATTACATTTATCCTCGCCATCCATAGTCTCTAAATAACTTATTTCATATGATATTTAGGCCCGCTGGTCTCATCATACAACGGCAATGAAAAAAGCACCAGGAGAGGCAGCCATAACCTCTGCCGCACTGAAGGGGGCGCACGTGAGCCCACAGGTTCTTGTTGCTACTGTTATTCTACGCAGAGACGGTAGACTAGACGCAAACAACAAGCTAGACTTTTGAAACTAGAGGAAGATAAGGAGGACTTTTACAAAAATGTAATGGAGATTGTTGTCCAGAAGGATAGCATGGACTTCATCTTCAAGTCAAGGTAAGACCACAATTGTAATGAACATGGGATGTTACTAAGAAAGAACAATCCAATATTTAGATTGTGGGTATCCTTTTGTTGAACAGTCTGTTTAAAATGAATCGAAGCATCAGACTAAAAAAGCTTTTGAAAATAACCGAACATTTCGATTAAGGTCAAAATATAATATTTGTAAATCTGACTCTGAAAGAGTCAGTGCCTCACCAGCCATGAACCTCACCGCACGTCACTGCTATCAATGATGTGGGGATCACTAGCAGCGTGCACAGTCTGACTGATAGACCTTTTGAAAAATGACAACATTGCTCTGGCATAAAACTAACATTGACACAGATGTTAAATATTTAAAGAGTTTCTGAACGGGATTGAAAATAGGGTTAATCTGGAGGCTTTTTTGGTTGAATTTTTTCAAGGCTGCTCTATATTTCTTTTGTTAAGGGCACCCGGATGGACTTATTGGGATTGACTCGAAAATACACTGATAGGGTTATTGATCATTACCATTTTCATTGTAATTACCAATAAGCTGTATTATGTTGTGGCGTAGTGAAGAGCTTTGGTAAGAACATTTTATTGATTTGTCTGAAACTGCAAGACAAAAAGACACAAAAGGACATTGCTGGATTCAATCCCACGCTTTGCAGTAGGTCAAAGACCGGTGACCGCGGCCACTGAAACACCAGAGAGCAGAGAAAAAGACAACAAACAAGCTCGAGGTATAATCTGTGATTGAATTGGTGTCTTGAGAAGGTGAGACCTCATGTTGTATCTTTTAGTTTAGTCTCAACCCTGTAAAAGGTAGATTTACGCCTTGGTAAACATCATAAACGAGTGAATACAGTGGAGTCGAGGCTCCTAAAGTTAAGTGCAGTTCAGCAATTCCACTGACGGCCTTTAGCTTACAAAATGTTCTGATTCTTTAACCTGTGTTTTTCTATAATTGGAGCGCAGGATAAATACAGATATACAACATGACAAGAGACGGGATGGGGCTCAAGAGAACACGCTGTTCCTCTCCGACAGTGTGTGATAATAGGACACTACAGGGCCACCCTTACAAGTATGCTGACAACAATTCCCCAACCCCAGCGCTGTAACTCAAGATAAAACATCGATCTGTCGCGCTGTTCAGACTCAGGCAAAATGTTCTTTTGCCAGACACTCATCTTTACCTCAAGGACCTTTTCAGACTGCCAGTCACCATCACCTTGGAAATTGTTAAGAGAAACTTTTGTTACGGTTGTAAACTTAAAAAGTGCTTGATTTTCAAAGTTCTCTTATTGCTCACCTCATCTTTTGTTTGTTGTGTAGGTTCAAAAGAGAAGTAGCACATTTCCTGATTGCAATTTGTTGAACAGACTCACGGTTCGAATTATTTATTTGGTGAGAGCAACCAGTTACAAAGACAGATGGCAAATCGAGAGTGAGCTAAAAATAGAACTGCTCCATCAAGAGAAGTGAAAGCACCGTCCTTGAATTTAAAGTTTAAATAAAATAAATCAAGTTTTGTGATAAGCTGCATCGCTCTCTCTATTTATCTGCCATTTTGCCGGTCATTTGTACTGCCCAATTGGCACATTTAGATGCAATAAAGGATTTGAGAGAGGACGTCTACAGCTAACCTCTTTAAACTGATATCTGATTATGAATTCAAGTGAATACAAAAAAAAGCTAGCAAAAAAAACGTGTCCGACAAAACAGATCAAAGACATATCTGAAATCCCTTTTTTTTGTATGACC